CCACCAGGAAAGCCCCTAAAGTAAAATGGAAAGATGTATTATTGGGAGTTCCCTGTCAGTTCACTGGTTAGGACTCTGCGTTTCCACTGTAGGGGGCTGGGTCCAATCCCTGGTCAGGAAACTGAGATCCCAAATCCTACAAGTTGCACAGCTTGGCCAAAAAAAAGGTGTTTTTACATTGTTAAGCATGAAAAACTTTACTTTTTCATCATACTCAAATGAGTATGAGTAGCATATACTCATTCTAGAAGATTTGGAAACTACAGACCACTGTAAAGAAGTAAAAAACATTAGATCGGCCACCTTAATCTAAACGCTCTGTTTTGTGGTTTAGAGGAGAAAAAAATTTTTCGGGACTTCCCTGGTGGTCTAGTGATTAAGACTCTGCCTTCCAATGCAGGGCGCAGGTTCAATACCTGGATGGGGAACTAAGATCTCACATGCCTCAGGGCAACTGAGCCCAGGCACTCTGGAGCCCAAGTATGGCAAATAGAGAGCCTGCCAGCGGCAATAAAGATCCCATGTGCCGCAACTAAGGTGCAACGCAGCCAAATACATTAAAAAAATTTTTTTTTTCAATTAAAAAAAATGTAATACTTTGTAAAACCCACTCTCCCCCGGGTCAGTCGAATGTAGTCTTACAAACCAGACGTATCCAATATTACCAGTTGGGATTTAAACACCTTTTTCAGCCTCATGGGAGACTGAAAAACAGGAATGGATTTAAATGACGGTGAAAGGCAGGTAAGCTGAATCAGTGAAGTGATGAAGTCCCCATCCTTAAGCATCTTTACAGCTTGCATAGATATGTTTGGGTGAATCCTGCCTGTTTACCAATTCTGCCTGGGCAGATTCCAAATACTGTACAGGGCTCATAAGTAGTACTCAGGATTTTGTCCAATACAGTAATTATTGAGTAAGGTCATTAATTCCACAGGTTAAGTGCCTAGCACATGCCAAGACTGTGCCAGGTGTTGAAAGTGTGATGATGAACCCAGTAAGATGCTAACAAGAGCAGAGACACTAAACCAAAAATCATACAAAGAAATGAACTGTGGGGGGAAACCAGGAGAGGTGCACATTTGTGAATCATCTGCTGTTTTGGAAGTTTAGCCAATGTTATCTCCCTGGGACTCGAAGGAGATAATCTGACCTCTCTGAACTTCATTTGAAAATGGGGACAGAATCACTGGGAGAGAACATGTGTCAGTGTGGCAAACTCTGTTCCAGGGCTTGGTTCACTGAAGTATAAAAATGAGGCACTTTTTATACTTCTGACTCAAACCTTCTTGATGGCCTTTAGTGAGTCTGCTGTGTTCCAGTGAGTCCGTTGTGATCTCTCTACAAAGATCCCACTTAATCCCAATTCCACCCATTTGAGTTTATGTACCCCATTGTCCAAATGATGACTCTGAGTCAGAGGTTTCATAGCTTGACCAAGACCACACAGCCATGGAGAATGACTGCAAGAAGATTCAAACCCAGGCCTGCCAAAATCCAAAGTCAGTGGCAATGCATTATCTCTTAGTGAGGTTCCTAGGATATATGTGTCCTTTTGAGAATGCTTAGGTTTGCTGGTGGTGTGTTTGCTATTCAGATTCCTGACTGTGTGCTTTGCTCATAACTGTGCAGTTTGAAAACACTGATTCATCCCCAAACAGGGCAGGGCTGAATATCAGACCTGTTTATCTTATACCGCCCTGGGGCACCTGTGTTGACTTCAAAGGAACTTTGTAATAAAAGCACTGTGATAAAACACACACACACACACACACACACAAATATATATATATATATATATATATGCTTGTTTTTGCTGTTTTTGACAATAGAATATACTCATGAGTCTCATTAACTTTTAAAAAATCACAGCTACTTAAGGTTTAATGACTAAAGCCAATTCTCTAATACACATCTTGCAGAGTCCTCTGAACATACTCTTTTTACACTTAACTATGACGTTGTCATTAGTTTCCGTTTGATTCTGCAAGGGCAGAGATCTTGAAACATTCACATCTGGATTCCCCTGTGGCTTGACTCAACTGAGAGCCAGGCAATACTGGCTGAAAAAATTAGGTATCTCCACAGTCCCTGCATTAGCTTTCTTTTGCTATTATAAAAAGTTACTAGGTTTAGTGGTTTAAAACAACATTCTGTCTCACACTTTCTATGCGTCACAAGTCTGGACTGTGTGGGTCAGCTGGTTCTCTGATCTGGCTAAAATCAGCCTGTTAGCAGGACTGGACTTCTCTCTGCAGGATGAGAGATGGGAAGCTGGGGAGAACGTGTTTCCAAGCTCATTCAGGTTATGAAATCTCAGTCCCCCGCGACTGTTTAACTGAGGTCCCATTGCTTGTGGACAGGGCTTTGTTCTCTCCTTCTAAAGACTCTGACATTCCCTGGCTCATGACCCCTTCAGCAACAGTGGGTTGACTTCCTCTCAAGCTTTCAATCTGATTCTTTTCTGCCATTTCTCTCCAAGGCATCTCTTTTGCCTTCCTTTCAAGGGTCCATGTGATTACACTGGGTTCACCCATATAATTCAGGATAATCTCCTTATTTTATGGCCCTTAATTCCATCTTCAATGTCCTGTTTACCATGGAATATAACATATTAACAGGTTCCAGGGACTAAAGCATAATTTTTCTTTTTTTGGGGGAGGGGGGGCAACAAGAACATTATTCTGCCAACCATAGTGCCTATACTAAACGTGTACATTTTAGAATAAATCTTCTCTAGTGACTCCCTGGAGGTCAAGGGGGCAGGGGTGGTAGTGGGATGAAGCTACTCAAGAAGAAAAGATTTTAAACACGCTAAATGACCTGTCAAAGGTTATACATTAAACTACCACCACCACTATCACCCTTTTGTGAAAAGTCAGGTCAAACATTTCTTTTCATCATGGAAGTGGGGTTCTTCTTTCCTCCCTATTGGGGTGAAGTTAGAAGGGGACAGAAGATTAGAAAACACACTTAGGAATTCCCTGGCAGTCCAGTGATTAGGACTCTGTACTTCCACTTCAAGGTGCACAGGTTCCATCCTTGGTCAGGGAACTAAGATCCCACATGCCATGTGGTGCAGCCAAAATATCCCCAACAAAACCATGCCTTATTTTACCTTGCACAGTCTATTCACCTTGCAGGATTTTGTTTACTGGACCTGAAAGCCTTCTGTGTGATGAGAATTTGAAGGAGGAACACTGAACTCCATGGTGCTCCACGTGGGCAGCACCCTGTTGATTTTCTCTCATCACTGGTTCTCCCATGTGCTAACACCAGGGAGTGGAAGGTGTGCTTCCTCACTGTGGGGATCCTTTCAAATGTGACCAGTGACACCTCCTCTTTAATTTTAAAGAACTGGCCATTATCCAGTTTAGGGCTGATTCTAGTCATGTTTCTGGAGATGATTGACTGATTCAATAAATAGGCACAGAAAACCAATGTGTTGGGGTACTGTGAACTTCATTTCATTTCATGCTTCTGCAACCAAAGCCCGCAGAGGGTGAGTACGTTGCTCATTGTCTCTCAGCCTGTACCAATTATTAAACACTTACTCTACGCCAGGAGCCAAATTATACGGACCTAACGTCAGGGTTCCCCCTGCACACCCTCTTCCAACCTGCCAGGTGTTTTATGCTGATTTTCATCTCAAAAATACTGTGATAGCCACGGAATGGTTTAGCCAGGATTCGGCTCTAGACTCTTTTGACTCCATGTTCTATGTTCCCTCTTGGGGTAGTGCTTCTAAAAAGGTCTCAGGTGCATTCTGGTAAGTATGGCCCCAAAGTCCAAGTTCTTCACACTACCCGTAATCTTATCATCAAGTTCACCAGGTGGTAAGAACGCTGTAAGCTGCGGGTGCAGCTTCGGCAAACGTACAGCGGCATGAAAGCACAGGAGGAAATGGGGAACTTTTGAGGTCCATCAATCGTGCAATAACCGATTTACTGGTATAAGTGTCTTTCTGTCTCATTATTATGCAGCGGTGAGTCATTTAGGGGAGGACCAAAAGGGAAAGTCCTGTCTCTAGTCACCTACAAGAAGTGTCGGTGAGAACAGCTTAGGCGGAGAAGGGCAAAAGTGGGCGCTGGGAATCGAGCTACCAGTTCTCTATTCCCACCCTTAGCCATGCGTCGGCCCGAAGACGAGACACGCCGAAGGGGTTAAACGTAGCTTGGGGTAGGGGGGCAAGCCGGCCACCGCCCCTTCCCAGCATCACCTCCCACAATGCCTCGGGCCCCCAACCAGTTCCCGCACCTCGCGAGACTCGCCCAGCCCCTTCCCCGAACGACTGCCCGTCCCCATTCCCTACCGAGCTCTGCGCGGGGCGGAGGAAGGGAGGGGAGGGCGGAAAAGACGGGACGCGGGGCACTTCGGGAAGTGTGGTCCAAGAGTTTCATGCAGCCATATTCTTCCGGAGCGGGGGAGGCCAGAGAGGCAGCCGGGACTACAACTCCCAGCCGCCCTTTCGGTTTGTTTTTGTTCAAAAAAAAAAAAAAAAACCCACACTCCCCCTCCTCACTCTTCACACACACTCACACACACCCACGGCAGACACGCATACACCCGGGCGCCGAAGGAAAAGCCGATTCTCGTCTTCCCGCCCCGTCGCCAGTCGGGTCTTGGTCTCTTAGCAGAGCGGGAAAGCGGAGGCCGGAGCCGTGACCTCTGACCCCGTGGTTATGCGGAGCCGCCGCATTCCTTAGCGATCGCGGGGCTACTGCCTTCGTCGCCGCCGCCGCCGCCGCGGGGGACTGACGCAGCGCGGGCGCGTGGAGCCGCCACCCCTCCCCCACCGCCGCCCTCGCGCCGGGTCTCGCGCCAGCCGGTCCCCGCGCGCCCGCCCCCTCTCCCCGGCCGCACCCGAGTCCTCGCGCGTCGCCGCCGCCACGCGCCCCCCGCCGCCGCCGCCGCCGCCGCCGCCGCCCCAGCCCCGCGCCGCCGCCCGCCCCGCCCGGAGGTCCCGCGTGGAGCCGCCGCCGCCGCCGGGGAGGAGGAGGATGAAGGACAAACAGAAGAGGAAGAAGGAGCGCACGTGGGCCGAGGCCGCGCGCCTGGTGAGGCTAGCCGCCGAGGGGGGCTCGGTGGGGGTTGTGAGGGGTGGGCTCGCCGAGCACCCCCCACAGGGAGGGGGAGGGGCGAGGCCCTGCCCACTGCAGGAGGGGGCGGGCCACCTTCCTCCCGGAACGGGACAACCCCCTAAAGCATTGGGTGGGGAGAGGTCCCCCGCCGGGTCGGATGTGGCGCCTTTTTCTGCGCGCCCCCCCACCCCCCCAAATTCCTGCGGAGGGGCGAGCTGGCGGGCCGGCTCCTCCTCCACTGGGCGGCGGGGCCCCAGCCTCCCCTCCCCCACTCTTTGGCAGAGTCTAGGGGGTCTGGGGAAGCTTCGTTTGTGCACTCGGGGGAGTTAGGTTTCCGGGAAGGGTCGGAAGCTCCTCCCTCGTTTCCTGGTGGGCAGTGGGTTGGTGCGTTTGACTAGGGATGGGAAAGAGCCCCCCCAGTCTGAAGGACGCGAGTGGCATTTTGAGCTTTCGCAATCTAAACCGGTGTGTGTGGAGGGAAGCAAAGGGCTCACTCCCAGCCTGAACCCTGAGCCTTGGTTCTCAAACTTTAGTGCCCTGTGGGGGCACCTGGGGAGGTTGTTAAGAGTGTTCATGCTAGGGCCCTACTTCATCTTAGGGCCCTACTTAAGACCTACTGAGTCTGAGATTCTGGAGTAGAACCTGAGTAATTCATTTTGACCAGCTTCTCAGGTTGGTTGTAATGCAGGTGACCCACGGAGCACACTTTGAGATCTGCTGACCCGAGTCCGCAAGCTAGCCCGAAGATAGGCAGTCAGCAGACAGCTAACTACACTTCGTAAAGAATGTTTGCGTGTGTTCTCTATTCTTTAGTGTCCTCTTGCATGTATACATGAAGTGTTGGACAAAGACCAGGTGTCTCTGTTTGAAGATACTGCTCACTGAGGACTTAGCAAAGGAGAGAGTAATTTGACTATTTGAAGCTGCCTGGTAATGCGGGTTTTGTGAATCTTCTGTTGTCCCAAAATGTCAGAGGACTTGCAAGTGAAATATATTTCTCTGGTTTTGCACCCAAAAAGTGAAGACACTTCGAGACATGTTCTTATAAAATCTTGCTGATGACAATAGTAACAGGTTACACTTGTCTCAGAGATGTCACTTAGAACTGTCACAAAGCAGGGTTATAGTGCAGATAGCATCCTTGTGTCTTGACACCCTGTAGTTTATATGTAATTGCTGTAATTCACTTTTAATGATGAATGAAGCTCAGCCTTCTAATCTTTAATTTTATTGGGAAGTGAGGTTCCTGCCTCAGAGGTGTTGAGCAAAAAAGATGAATGTGTGTTGGAGGTTTTTACAAATCTGTGGTACACTCTTCTTTCTTGGAGCCTTAAAACTCAGTTATTGACTTAAAAGAGGGAATGCTGTTTGGTGTGTAGGAGAAATTTCACTGGTGTACCTGATCATCTTTCTTAGACCTTTTTTGCCCAAGAAACGGAAGTAGCAATTAGTTTGTATGTTGAAGTTTTGTGCTTCAGTTACTTTGTTTTGGTTTGGCATATGAAATTTGAAGATTTTGAAGTACCTGAGGGTATTTTTCAGATGCAGTCAAATTTGGAACCTTTGGTTAGCTTTCAGGATCTCTTGGAAGTTTCAGGATTTCTGTGTCAGGAAATCTGTTTCACCTGGAAACAGATTTAGGCCCAGAGGAGAGTAGTGAGAGCCAGAAGGACGCACTCGCTTTCTCCTGGAGTTTGAGGCTGTTCATTGAAATTCTCCTCTGAGTTTCTGTTCTGCAGGTGTTTATGACTCTGGGCACCAAAAGGAAATTTGCTTGCCAGAGTTTTTACTTGTTAGAGGTAGGTGAAAGTACCTTTAAATCCTGTGTTATTTATGTCCTGACAGAATTCTAAAGTCTGCTTGTCTTAAAGCTCCGTTGGCTCATCCTAGTTGAAAGACTCTGGGAATTCAGGGGTCCACTATTAAGCCTCTTTAGATTCTTGAGTTTACTGTGATCTACAGTCCAGTTCCAGGTTGCTATTTCTGTTTTATCATTGGCTCAGTTCATGCCAGTTTGTCCCCAGTAAATTCTTTTTCTTTAATGATTCTTCATTAAAAAATAGTATTTCCTACTGGGAATTACTTATGCTCTTAAACTCTTGCAAGATGACTTGTGGGATATGGTGTGTAGTTTTGTATATCTTTTATTTTTTGTTTAGGATTTTCTGTGCCTTTCGATGGACCAGTTGTTGGGTGAGGGGGAGCTCTTAAGATTGCTCATTTGGGAAAAAAAAATTGCTTTAACAAACCAAGTGCTGGAGAGTTTGTGAGTGCTTACACTGGATAGAGAGAAGAGTGAGCTGTAATGGTAGGAGGGTAGATTGGTTCTAAATACTCTTTGGACAGGTGAATTTGGAGTGCTTGCTGTGGCAATCAAGATGCACTTGCTTGAGAGCAGTTTCATATTGCTCCCGACCTTGCTCAGTTTGGTGGTTAAAATGATACCAGGAACCGTTTTTAAGCTATTTTGGTAGGAGAGAAGAGACTTCTGGACTATTTCAGTAGTGTAGTAAATCCCAGGAGATTGATTTTTGCAGCTGTTAATTATGTTGTTGAGAAGCAGATATTCTTCTTTCAAACACTTGCTAGTATTGTTTTTCCTAGATGTAGGAAGTAGACTTTAGGTGGTTGGGTGGGTCTAAATCCTCCTGCTTGTTAGAAACAATTTGTTTGGGAGAAATAGCTGAGTGGATTTCCCTTTAGATTGAATGCCCTTAAATGGATTTTCCCTGGCTTTGAGAAACTCTTCATTGCATGCTTTATCTTTCACTTTGATTCATGACTGACCATTCTTACATCAAACATTTTTTCCCCCTTTGAAGTTGGAGAAGAGATACTTTTTGTATGCTCTAGAAAGACAGGGTGGGGATAGAACACTGCTGAATTGTTCTTACACTAAAAGCTGAAGGCATATACAGTTTTAATAAAAGTGAATACTTTGTATCTTTTGATGTAACTTCCCTATAGAGATTATGTTTCCTCTGTCTTAGATTCTCAGGCTCTCCCTGACTGCTGTTTAATTGGTAACTAACTTTTGAGCCATGCTTCTTAAAAAAAAATTTTACTGTGAAAAAATTCACTACCTCGGCTCACAATTAATATCAAAGAAGTCATATCTGTGGCAGTGAACATTAGTATCTTGTATTGTGGGTTTGTTCATCAGTGCTGCTTAGCTTGGCAGTTAGGTTCTTGGAATTACAGAGATGGATAAGGTCTGCCCTTGAGGAGCTAATGGTTTTTCCTGGGGTTAGAGAAGGTCCACCCCTTCTCTAACAGGTGAGTAGAATTTCCTTACAGGCATGGTGAGTACCAGCATAGATGTATAAATGGTAATAGACATCCTGATTCCTGCTTACTGTCCAGTCATAATTATGAATAGTTCCTCTTTTTACTCTCAAGTGTCCTGCTTTGGAAGATGAATTATATGTGTTGTGCAACTATGGGGCCCTGAAAAGAGAGGCTTAGCTATCTGGCAGAGAGTAGAGAAGGCTTCTGGGAGGAAGGTGCTTTCCGAACTGAATCTTGAAGGGTGAGTAGGAGTTAGACTCCTCACAGAGGATGTAAGCAGGAGCTGGAAACAAGAAATAGGAGAGTGTGTGTGTGTGTGTGTGTGTGTGTGTGTGTGTGTGTGTGTGTGTATCTGCAGGGTGGAGAGTGGGAATTGGGTAGACCTGCCCGTAGTTATTGGAACATAAAGTTTGTGGAGTATTAGAGAGCCAGGCAGAGACCAGATTGTGAGGGTCTGGCATGCCTGGCCAACAAACACCTCCTGTGTCTGGCACTCTAGGCACTTACTCCGTTGTCTCTGCAACAACTCTGAGAAGGCCTCAGTATCCTTCCTTTACAAATGAGGAAGCCTAGACTCAGGGTAGGTAGGTTACTTGCCCAGGATTTTTTGTTGTTCAGTCGCCAAGTTGTGTCTGACTCTTTGCAACACAACTCTTTGCCCAGGTTTAGAAGACCAGAATTTGAATTTTTAAAACCAGGTCTGTTTGCTTCTAAAACCCGTGCTTTTCTAGTGGGCCAGTGGCCTCTCTGGAGCTTCAGCTTTCGCTGTATGGAAATAGTTTGCTGTCAAAGGACTTTAATTCTGAAAGTGATGAGGGCAGGTTTATTTTGTTGGACTGACCTCAGGCTATAGCAGGTTAAGTTCTGCAAAAGCAGAGCTCTGATCTTTTTTACTGATGAATTTCTAAAATTGTTCCTAGCACAGAGTGTTTCATGTATTTGTTGAATGAAGAATGGCGGCGGAGTAAGAATGAACTTGAGGAAAGCAGGGATGTTAGGGAAGAGGCCGTTGTGTCAAGCCGGGTCAGAAACTGGCTGTGGGGGGACTTCCCTGGTGGTCCAGTGGCTCTAAGACCTCGCACTCACGATGCAGGCAGCCCAGTTTCGGCTCCTGGTCAGGAAACTTGATCCCACATGCCGCAGCTAAGAGTTTGCATGCTGCAACTCAAGATCTAGAGTGCTACTAAGACTTGGTGCAGCCAAATAAAGTTTAAAAAAATTTTTTTTTTAAAGAAAGAACCTGACTGGGAGAACTAGGGGACAGGTGAGAGTGAAGGATGATGCCTTGGTTTCCAAATTAGGTGATGAGACAGACTGCCAACCAAGGAGAGGAATATCAGAAGAGAGGAGATGATCATGAGGGACGTCCAGTACCGAACTGAATATCTGGGGCCTGAAATTTAGGGAGAAATCCTGGCAAGAGGTTGAAATTTGGGAGTTAATTCAGTATTTTGGTAGTGTTGAAACTGTGAGAGATGATAATGATACCCAAAGAGAATGTAAACACTGAACGAGAAATTAAGAATGGGACCATAGGAAATAGGGGTTTTATTTCAGCACCTGCTTCTCCAAAACTTGACTAGTTTATCGCTTAGAACTCATGTTCTTCCACAGAGAGAACCTTCGCAGCAGTCCTGTTAGGCTTCTTGCTTTGCATTTTATCTGTGACACAGCCATGCAGTACTTTGTTCGGGCTGTTAAATGACTATAAGATGTTGGTGTGGTTTGGCGTAACCTCAGCAGCTGCACTGCTAGAGCTGATACAGAGATACTGACAGCCCGTCTTTTTTCCTCCCTGAAAAGGATAAGATTTCTAAAACAACTCGGCTTGTTCAAGTGAGAGAGCTCTGGTTGCTCACTAAGACATTGTTGCTGGGGCTTAATTATAGATGTCACTAATGTAAATAGGATGTTCCATTTCTCCTTGTTTTGCTTGCACCAGTCATATAGAATCGTAGCGTTATATTGCTGAAAGGCAAATTGTCCTGTACTAATTAACACCAGAATTCCACAACCCAGTGGCAAAGTTATCATTGAAAAAATACAGGTACCTGGAATTTCCTGGCAGTCCAGTGGTTAGGGCTCCATCCTTTCACTGCCGAGTGTCCAGATTCAATCCCTGGTTGGGGAACTAATCCTGCAAGCCAAGCCGCCCCCCACCCCCCAAAAAAGATAAAAATATTGTAACTAATCAGACTTACTTGGGAAGGAAAGCCTGAATGCAGTTCTGTCTTACAGTTTATAGTACTATGTATTCTGTAGTTTAGCTGTGTTAACAGCATCAGGTTAAGTGGCAATTAAAGTTGGGAAGGCCCCGCATACCGTAACACGGATGCTGAGAGGATGTGTATTTTCAGAATTGAAAATTAGAGTATTTCATCTAATTGCAGTCACTTTCAGCAACTAGTTAGATATATGTGTAATTTGGTTTCAGAAGTAATCTTGACTGTGGAAAAACTAAGATGTCAGCAGTGGTACCTCATGACAGAATGGTAGCCCGTGTTATATAGTGATGGATATAAATGGGAACTGCGCACTGAAATCAGAACATTTATATTTCTTCAGGTACTGGAAAACTATTCGGATGCTCCAATGACACCCAAACAGATTCTGCAGGTCATAGAGGCAGAAGGACTAAAGGAAATGAGGTTTGTATGGCTCTTGTTGCTTAATGTGAGGGTTTTAGAGGACATGGGTCTTACTGCAGTTAGGTAGTGAATGAGAAAATCCACAAGTGCATATATGTGTGTGCACATACACACGTGTTTGATGGTAGTGTGGAGCTGTCTTGGTGTGGTACATCCTCTGGGTGGAGGGCGGGAGTGGCTGCAATTCTGTTGGTTTTCATCAGAGGTGCAGCAGGTTTCCCTATTTGCTCTACTATTCATTTCAACGTGGAGCTTGTTTTTTGCATAAGGAGTCAGCATGTTTTCTCTTGTATTCCATTTTGCAGGTTTCGGTAGCAGAGAAGGAACAGACTGATCTGCTCCATCATGTCTAAAACTATCCTTCTCTCTGTACCGTATCTCTGAAGTTCTTTGTTTTAGGCTTAGAGAAGGGTGATCCAATCATCATAAAACTCACTGACTTTTTTTCCCCTGCTGATTCTAGCCATTCTTGCTATGAGCATGCTAAATTTGGAGATGACCTTGATTTTCTTATCCTATGATATATTTTTCCTAGAGAAGCAACAAATTGGAAACACAAAAAGAAGGGCAGGCACAAATAAAAATCAGGGACTGTCCTGAATCCTTTCTCTGCTCACCCCAACCTTTTTTTTCAAAATTTAAGTGGGAGAGGAGAGCCCAACACAGTTCCTTCTTGGGATTCAGAACAGTCAGCATATATTTTGCTGGTTAAGCTTTAGCTACTTAAATTGATCTTTTAGGATCAAAAGATCCTCACTTTCCAGTTGTCAGTTCAAACAGTCTCAAACTGACATTTTGTGGGGAGGGAAGATTGGGGTTGTCTGGATCACGTTCTGGTACTTCATTTAAATACTACCTTTGCATGATGTAGTGTTGTAATTGCATCTTTTGTTTTGTTTTTATGGGCTATTTCCCATCGTGCTGCTGTCTCTACTGCTGTTGGACCACTATGCCTATAGAAGGTAAATTAGTCCCTCTGGGACAGATGGAATTGAGAACCTAACTTGTTTCTCTTTCTGGCTCTTAACAGGAATTATGAAGTGGTCACGGTGGCTCGTGATGAGTGAGCAGCTCTATAATTTGTAGACAGAGGGATAGTGTGTAGGAGTCACACTGTTGGAAGAAAGACTCTGCCAGCACGCCTTCCCCTGCAGCAGAGATGTTAGCACACCCGCTTGACACTCCAGATTCTGCACAGGGTTTCTAACACAGATTGGTCCTTGGTAGATTGGTCCTTGGTGAAATTTTTTTTTTTTAGCATCCAGGGTGTTCCAAAGCCGAATAAGTAATAGTTTTTTTTTTTTTGATGACTTATTTAGACTCAAAGTTTATTTTTAACGTGTCATAAATTAGAGCCTCTAATTTTGAAAAACGCTGAGAGGCATTACTTAAGATATTGGTGTTTGTTTATCCTGCTGGCGAGAGGGACAAGAAGGTGCACAGGTAAACCCTAGTATTAACATGCTAGTGCCAAACTCAGTTAATAATGGGCATTTGTCTGTATTTTTGACAGCTTTTCTTTTTAAGATTAAGTAGTCTCTAACTCACTTGAGTTGTCATTGTTTTGCAACCTTCTGTTGTAGCAGGGACCATGAAACAACTTAAGATGCTATCTCTTTTTTGGTTTAATGTTTGAGCATTATTGCATACTAAATCCATTTGACTTTTTATATTCAAATTTAAAGTATTGCTCCTGGGTAGATACAAAACAAAATGTGTCTTTCCCCCTTCTCCAGTGAGAAAAAGCAAATGACATACTATTCCTTTTGTGTGCGTATTAAAAAATAATTTAACTGGAAAAAAAAGTATGCTTATTTTCTTGGGACAGCACCACTGATGCTTGGTCTTTGTGTTAAAAATGTTATAGGACAGTTTCTGAGCATGATACTCAGGTTGAAAGATAGAGGCTAGGGAATCTTGGTTTTGTTTCTAATTAGCATTAAAATTTAATTTTAAAAATTTTGAGTAAATAAAAATATTGGGTCTTTTTTTTTTTAACTCCTGAGTGTACCTGAAAATATATGCAGTGTTTCTAAATTTCTTGAGAGTTTGGTTCATATTGTCAAAAGGCACTTAAGAATCATCAGGTGTGGAGTAGAGATACCATGTAACGTGTTATCCCAGAGCTCTCTGGGTGTGATTTACATGAATTTCATGTGCTACTCCTTTGCCACTTTCAAAACAGAATTCTTGTGGGATGTTTTATATTTCTTCCTGTTCTTCTTGATTTAAGAATGAGTTGAAGGGTGAGAGATCTTTGAGTAAGTAGATATTTTGGTTTGTATGACCTTTTTCCATCCTTGTATATTTTTATAGTGGGACATCCCCTCTTGCATGTCTTAATGCCATGCTACATTCCAATTCCAGAGGAGGAGAGGGATTATTTTATAAACTACCTGGCCGAATCAGCCTTTTTACACTCAAGGTAAGTCATGTAAATTCTCTAGTGCAGTGGTTCTTAAAATTTTAGTGTTCATAAGGATTACCTGGTAGGTCTGGAATGAGGCCCATGAATTTGCATTTCTAATAGGCAGGTGAGGGATGCTGCTGTTGTTCTGAAATGGCACATTGAGAGACAGTCTAGTGTGAACAGGGTATTAGGAATTATTAAATATTTAGTCATATCAACTATTGTGTCTGTAATGTTTTTCCTTGTCTATAATCTTTGCAGATTATATGCAGTAGAGTGATAAGTATGTGTGTGGGTAATTGCAAATGTGCTTAATTATGAATTTGTTTGTAATAATGTTGTGAAGGATAATTTACCGGACAGCTAAGTAAGACCTACTTTATGGAAAATAATTGAAATTTGAAAATACTTGTGGAAATTCAAAAACTCATTAGCATTTACCAAGTGACATTAATTACTATGGGAGAGAAATCAGGTAGAATTCACAATAAAGCTTAAAGCTTAAGTAGAGCTAATTGAACAGGCTAATTGCCTTTGTGATATATATCATGTAAACCAGGAGTTGGCAGATTTTTTTCTGTGAAGTACCAGATAATATTTTAGGTTTTGTGGGCCACACTGTCTCTATCATAACTATTCAACTCTACTGTTGAAACAGGAAAGCAGCCACAGGTAATGCACAAATGAATGGGCATAGGTGTGTTCTAATAAAACTTTGTTTATAAAAACAAACTGTGCTAGATTTGGCTTGGTGGTGGTGTTTGCTGACTCCTAATTTAGACATAGTTGACCTGTTGATGATGAAGGATGAACCTGAAAATCTGATGCTAATCCTTCTAGTCATCCATAATGTAGTTATAAATTGCAGTAGTCCATAAACTTTTCTGTTTTAGTTTTGTTTTGATAGACTTGTTTATTAAAAATGAAGACTTGAACAGACAACAGCTGTATAACCTGTGGTCATAAATCTTAATCTGTAGATACACCTGTATATCTTATGTTCCCTTGTCTGTGCTATTTTCTATAGTTTATTTGTAATTTCAGACTTTTAAAGGCAGCATAATATAATGTCAGAAACTGAGCCTTGGAAGAGATAGCCTTGAGTTCAATACCTAGCTCTGTAATCTAGGACATATATAACCCTTCTTTATGATTGTGCATGCATACCTGACACAGTCAGTCCTTAATAAGTGGTAGCCTTTATGATAGTCCTTTAGGTTCCTTTATCTTAATTGCTTGTTAATGGTATTTTTCTACTATATATTATGTATTGTAATTATATGTAATTGTGTATAGTTATAGTTGTACGTATTATATGTATTACAAATGTGCTTGTTAATGGAATGTTTCTCTTTTAAGAGGAAGGAGAAATATCTATTTCTATGGACACCTAAAGGAAAGGAATTGAGTTTCATTTGTCTTTGTAATTTGACTCGGCAGAATTCTTGGCATAGTCCATGCTTAATAAATATTTGAACTAAGTTCAGTATCTTAATTTTCTGAGTGAACTCCGTTGTATGAATTTGCTGTAAGCTTAGGGGTGTTCTGTTAGTCTGCAGCCCATGTCTGAGATGCATTGATTGATGTGCTTAGCACGTTCTCTTACCTGCATGTGCCTTTATGTTGCCCAGTCTTCCTAGCAGCTTGCTCGTTGGAGTTGTACATCACCTCCCTGATATTTTTGAGTTCATGGTTTGCTTGTCTGGTTCCCCAAGTCAGGCTGTATACTTGAGGGTGGGTCTTATTCATTTCATTATCCACTTGGATAATGTACAAAGTGACTGTCAATAAGTGCATATTTAATGAATGAATTAGTGAATAATGGCTGCATTCTGGTACTTCATTATTATCCTTTGCTTTTGACATTTGATGGTAGATACTACCTATAATCTTGATGAAACTTATCTATAGACCTGCCTCTGGCATCTCACTCACAGCCAAAATGAAAGACGCTTTTTCCTGTGGCTTTAGTAGACCTTTAGCTTGGCTGATTATCCATGCTGTCTCTTAACATTTTGACCTATTATAAAGTGATAACGTGGAAATGTAACAGAAAGTAAAATGCAACAGAGAAAGTGAAGGTAACCTGCAAATTCTGCTGCTTGTAACCTGATAATAATTTATATAAATAATATTTGAAAAAACTGGATTGTAATTTCTTTATGGCTTTGGTGCTTATTTGTTTAGTTAATATGTTTGCTGTGTTGGTACATACGGACATACCTTACTCTCCCCCCCACCTCTACCCCCTTGGGCTTCTTGAGAGTCTGAATCATTGATTAGTCTTATTAATTGCCTCATTATCACCACGCTATCTTCTAGAAGTTGTGCAGATATTTACTTTACTGTTATTTGGGAATGGATAAAAAAGGATACCAAAAATCTGAACCAACTGATTACTATCCCGATCACGTGAGGACTTAGGTCTGCCGAATAAAGTCCACGGTGGTGCATTTTTTCCTTCCTTATCTGAAATTTTTTTTTTTTTTTAAATTTCAGACCTACAGAAAAATTGGAGTACTGCAGCCAGCTTGCTTTCTTCCTGATCGCTTTAAGTTTGCTTCATTTGCTTTATCCCTCTATACATATGTATGCATTTTCCCCCAGAACCATTTAAAAGTGTTAAACTAGTACTGGTATTTCACCCCTACACATCTCAGAATGTATGTCTTAAGAACAAGGACATTATGTTACATAACCATAGTATCATTATTATAGTCCAGAAACTTAATGATATAGTAGTATGTAATATAAGTCTATATTCACATCTTTTCTGGTTTTAAAAATATTCTTTATGGCTTATTTTTTAAGTCAGTCATTCAGTCAAGAATCATACATTATGTTTGGTTGTCGTATCTCTACAGTCTCTCTCGGTGTGGAACAGTTCCTTTACCTTGTTTTGTTTTTCATGGCATTGGTATTTTCAAACACTCGAGGTTGGTTGTCTTATAGAATTAAGTACATTTTTCAGGGACTAATAAACATGTAGAAATCTTGGTTATTTCCAGACGCCTTTACGTTTGTACTGCTGCATCATGTCTACTGTTCCAGGTTGTTGCCCAGAGCCACTCAGCAGTGAAAGATGGAAGTGATGGGGTGTTTTGTATGGTGTCTGTCTAAGGGTAGTTTGCTCGGAGTCTTGCTTGTAATAAGGGACAGGAAGGCACAAGTTACTTAACTCATACTCTTGTTTTTCATTTTGAGGGTGTAGTGACATCTGAAATCCTGTGGTGCTTTTTCTGCCTAAGTGTTTTTCATATTGTTGAGGACTAGCACGTGCAGAAAGGTTTGGTTTCTTTCTCCCCACTGCTTGAAACTCTCTTCTAGTGGACCATAAAGGTCAGAAAGCATGGGAGTTTGCTACTTAGTTGAAAATAAGAGTTTTTTCTGTTCTAAATACGTTTGTGTAGCTTTATCTATGATTACCAAAGCTTTACTGATAAAGCCAGAGTCTTCTGGGGCTTGCCACAGGATTCCTTCTCTGATAAAATTTGTTCTAGATAATGTGATGGTACGTTTGACACTTCATACATAGATGCTTGCATCAGGTCTTAGAGCTAGTCCTCAGGGATGGATGGGGCAGATGAAATCTGTCCATGCTTTGAATTCTTGATTTGAGTTGCTTTCCCTGAAGTTGGCTATCAGTGTCCATCATTGCCTGGTTAGAGATGGGATTTATATTGTCTTTTACGCTTGGGATTCCCATCCTTGTAAACTAGTGAGAGCGCCTTTGTAGTGTCCCATGTTTATAGGACTGTCATGCTGAACAGCTTTGCTTCTGTGTCATTGGTGAGGTTACTCTGGTTTGGTGCGTGGCCATTCCTGCACTCACTGTCCGGCATGACTGCAGTCATCTGAACATTATAAAGTTTTATTGTGAAATGATGCTCAAGTGAAGATGTCATGGCTTTTTGCACCTTATTATACCTCACGTGGTGATGTAGGGCTCAGCCTTAGGGGTCCTTTAATTCAAATAGCAAGTCTAGCTGAATCTTTTTAATATGTAGAATATTTAAATTTAAAGTATTAAAAAAATCTTCCTGGTAAAAGAAATAGATGTCTGCACTTGAAATATTCATCCATTAAAATTCACAGTTCGCAGATAAAAGCAAATGGAGGAAGAGAAGGAGGTAAGTTTTGCAGTTTCACAATGTTATTTATAGAGCTGCAATTAAATTTTTCTTATACAATTCCACAATTACATCAATTCTAGAGCTATTTACATTACCATTAAATATCTGGGAGACTTTGATACAATAAATTACAGAGTCTGTCATTTGAAAGTCAGTACCAGAATCCATTTTGATTTTTGATAAGTGCATTTCAAGCAAAGTGGTCTTTTAAAAACACAAAGCATATCACACCAGTATCCTGCCTGGTCCTTGCCTACCTCTCTGATTTGCTGTCCTGACACCTTCTCCTTGGTTATTATACTCAGCCACCTTGGCCTTGACTCAGTTTCTCAAAGGCCCCAACCTTGTGTCTACCTCAGGGCTCTTAGACTTGCTAGCCACTCTGTATGGAAAACTCTGGCGTACCTTCTTGTCATTTGGTTGTTAGTCCAAGAGTATCTTCCCAGTGAGGCTTTCTCTAAACAGCAGTTCTGGTTCCACAGTGTTGGCAGGGCTTGGCTGTTTCACGGTCCTGCCGTGTTTGCTTGGTTATGTGGTTATCACTGACCTCCCTCCACAAGGGGCTTGTTTTCACTGTATCTCCTGTGTCTGGCAGATAATACACATGTAATAAGTATTGGCTGAATGAAAAGTAGAGGATAGCACCATCAAAATCTTAAGCCAGATAGTTCTCCTGGTAATCTAGTTTTGTTTTATATGTTTTATTACAGAATATGCATATTCTGGGTTATTTTTTCTTCTCAGCAAGTTGACTTCTTAGAATCCTGTTTTTTTCTTGCCCTCTTTAGAGCAGTTAGTTCTGCATTAATCTGTGAAAGAACCTGCTGACTCTAGAAATAAATCTTTCCCAGGCTATGGCCATAATCTGCTTCCTCCAATTAC